GATACCGGGGCCATTACCCGACTTTGGCTAAGAAAAAAATTGAGCTACTTAGGAGAATAGGACAAACTTCAGAATTGGACAAGATTCAGAAACCGTCTCAGGAGCCCCCCATCAATCCTCTTTACCTCTCTCCGGCAACACATACTGCAACAGAGCCACCATCTCCGTTGCTGCTGTACCCTATTTCCATCCTACCAGCTAGCCCCCGCACTAGTAGGATGCTTGATATCCCACCATCTACTTCTCCCACTCACCTAGAAGACTCAAATCCCCAATCCATCCCCTGTACCCCACTCCGGCAAGACTTCCTGCAGCAGGGCCACCATTTCCGCTGCTGCTGTACCCTATTCCTGTCCTGCCAGCTAGCCCGCTTGCTAGTAGGACGCGTAATATCCCACCTTCTCCTTCTCCCACTCGCCTCAGTCTCTTTAGAAAACATCTGAGCAATATGGAAAACATAGAAATAGACCTCCTAGGTCCTACAAATGCTCAGAAACCCTTGAAATCCCTAACAAACCCTTCCAAAGCACTCCAACATTGTCCTACTCCCCGCCGAGCTCTTCCAGGTCTCACACCCCCACATCTTGCTGGGTTACAGGGCAACACAACTCACCCCAGCTCCGACCAGCGTCGTCCCAGCAGCAACCCTTAGTTGTCCCGTGGAATGCCCACCCCAAAGCATCCCCGATCTCTCTACCAGGCCTCACGCTCCTGCGTCAGCAGGTCACAGGGCAACACCCCAGCACCGGCCAACGTCGTTCTGGCATCGAACGACCATAGCTCATTGAGTATAACAGCATCGAAGCCACCTAAGAAGAGTTGCTAGGACCCAGGGTCCAAAAACATTTTTAAGACCACCAATCAACCATCCGTGTATGGTCAACCCTGAGATCTATTTTTGAGATTTTTTTTTTTTTTTTTCGAAATGAATACAGTCAGCTCTCCTCCTATTTCCTTTCACCCCGTACTCTTCTTCATCTCCCGACGAGTCGACCTCCTCCACCATATAGTTCCGGAAAGAAGAATAATAGACCAACGACTTCACCAAAATCCCATAGCAATGAAAAACAAACTTCAATTCTTCCTCTTCCTGCGACAGGCCGACCTCCTCGACCACATAGTTCGAAAGAGGAGAAAAAAGTAGTTCACTCCATCGCAAAACAGGTGCAGCACCCTAACCTCCCATCCCCTTACTGCCTTCCGGCACAGACTTACAACAACTAAGCCACCATCTCAATTGCAACAGTGCCCTAATCCAATCCCGCCAGCTAGCCCTCCTCATCAACGGGATGCAATATTACCAAAAAAAACTATACCACTCCACTTCAATCCCGCGCCTGTTCCATAGGCAAGTAAAAGACACCTGATCCCCACCCACAGTCTTCCTAACCCCCTTATTCAACTGCCTCCCGCGACAAACCGGCCTCCTCCACCCATAGTTCGCGAGATGAAGAAAAGTGAAAGCGGACAACCCTTGATTTCCTCGTGTGACAAGCTGACCACCTCCACCACACAGTTCACAGGAGAAAACCGAAAGTGATCCACCATCTGAAACTTGCCAGCCCTACCCAAACCTCCAAAACTGATCGGACCCAAACCAAAACTAACTCATCAGGGGAGGGCAATCCGAATTTAAAAACCAAGTTGAGTCATGAAAATCAAAGGATTAGAATTCGGAATCTGATTTATGAGCATCAGAACTTCATGCAATCCGAATTAAAAAACTGAGTTGAGTCATGAAAATCAAGAGATTAGGATTCAAAATCTAATTTATAAGTATCAGTATCAAGAGACGAAACAATTTCCAAATTAAGAGTTAGACATATGCGATGACTTTTAAACATATGCGATGGCTTTTAGATTTATATATCCGAAAGGATTTTCGAATCTGATTCCCGACCACGGTATGAGAATCGAGGGAAATTAATGAGGAGATGTAATTAGGAAACACACTTGAATTATAGTTGATATGCGATATAAGGAGATGTAATTAAGAAAACACACTGGAATTTATGGTTGATATGTGATTGATATCAGGGGTAGGAAATCAGAACACGGCGTATTGGAATTAATAGGAAATCAAAGCACAGAATTAGAACAATCCAGATTCACTCGAAAGTTTAAATCTGAATTCGATTCGTCGTCCTTGGATGAGCATCAAGGATTATTGATTGTATTTGGATCTGAAATTGAGTGTGTATTTCAACAGTTCGTCTGTGTACCAACTGAGCTGGGCTCATTGGTTATCGTGGGTTATCGTTCCAATTTAATATTTTTTTGATGTCCCGAACTTGCCCACCCAAGGTAAGAGCCACAACTTTGCCGAAAAAAAAGCCAAAAAAAAAAAGGCGAGGTCCGCAAATCTGATTGGGATTGTGGATAAGGTTATCGGTGTGTCAGGCCAGGGCTACAATCTTCCCCCGAATACAAAGTACGGTCATTATAGCTGAATTTGGGATATTTGTCAGTCTAAATTCAGTTATAATGACTGTGCCTTGTATTTGGGGGAAGACTGTACTGCTAAGCTGATAATGGCCCTGTCTGGACCAGACTCTGGGCCTGGCTCCACGACTCACTAAATATGCCAAAAGAGAATGAATCTGCTGGTAGACCATGGAAAGATACACCACCGTATTTTGTCTTTAAATTTTTTGCATGTGGCCAGTAGTGGAGAGAGCGAACTCTTCTGATACTTAGCGAACTCTTCTGATACTATACCCCACGCAAGCAGAGGAGTCACTAACAGTGTCATGTAACATGACTATATCTCATCAGTCTCAGGGCGAGATCCCACTGGCAAAAACGATTGGAATAAGTGTCTGAATGTGGGCGTGTTTGTGGACAGCTGCCAAAAATTGTGATTGATCTACTTTTCTGCACCTCTGCGTGGAACACATCCAGATTCACACACTTCTTCCAATCCTCTTTGCCAGTGGGATCTGGCCCTTAGGCCTGGACCCCACCGGACCTCGGAAATGAAAAAGTTAAAAACTTTGTCACAAAACTGTCTGTTTCCAGGTCCCCACAACCTTTAGCAGATGTCCAGGAAAAGGTGAAGTTTCCTACGCAAACCCTTTTGGGGGACCCCACGGACCGAAGATTGCGGCTTGGAAAAACATCCTTAATTTTTGTGTTTTCAGATAGTCTGTGGCCTGGAAAAGTCTCAGGGGAGGATTCCTCGCCACAATTTTGTGCAGACTCGAGAGGGTAGGGGGGGGGGCATGTCATTCCTGGAAAAGATTCACGGGAGGCAACAACCGA